TGCTGATTGCTTTTTTAAATACAACAAGTTCCTGCTGTTAAATTAGAGTTTAATAAAAGGGTCTATTACACCCTTCTCACTATCTCTGCCTTCTTACTGCACATAGAGATAGGTCGGTTAGCTTCAGCTCGAGTCCTGTTGCAGTTTATGCTTCTTAAGAAGGTGAGCCGCCCAACTGGTACAGTGGCAGGCATCGCTGACGGCCGTGCCGAAGGACCCGGGTTCGAATCCCGGATATTTGTAAATGTACAGTGTCGGTGCGGCATGGCGGCTCTCTAAACATACGGCGGTCCTCTCGTGTGGCTTGGTGGAAGGGGAGAGAGTTGAAAACGCTCACACCCGTTCCCCCAGGGTGCTCTCTCCATGAAAATTGGGGTCGGAACTAAGCTAAATCGCACTGTCACCTGTAAGGTGATCAAGGCTGTTGCCTAGGTCAGGCGTAATCTTGCACTCCTTGCCACGAGGAATTTTGTGGGCTTGGGCTGATGTTACTGTCAGCCAAGTGACCAAACGCAACCACAATAAGAAGGTAAGATTCAACAAACTTAATATTTTAGACTATGAACATGTTTATCAAGTTCAGTAATTGACATATAAATATATAATAATACGATGTAATATACTGCTATTCGTGCTATATTGTAACGTCCAATATTTTACGCAAAAGAGTTAGAAAAATGGAAGGCGAAGAACTGCTTAACCTGCACAAAAACACAGAAGTGTTCTGAACTAAGTTGGCATTTTACGTTGGTTCACTATAAACGGCGTTTCACTTTTCAAATTATTGCCCCCAAATATTGCAGCCCTGCATTATATTTAAAGAAATTAAATAATGAAGAATCTATATGAATGTATGTGTGTTCTTCGCACTGTGAAAAACAACGATACCTAGAGACATCAAATTTTGAATAACCCAGTCCTCCACTCAAATATGGTAATCTGGAAGCCAAAATTTGGAACTTGGAATTTGCTTTATTATCTATTTTATATTTTGTAAAACTTTAACCAATTTTTGATTAACAAACTCAACGATTTCAAAGCGAGCAATGGTAACACTGTACAAGAAAGAAATTTTATGTCCAGCACGCGCCACTGTGTATCGGAAATTTTAAAGATATGCTCTTTTAAATTATTTTAGGATAGTGCTTTGAATTGAATTTTATAGTTTAAGTGTGAAGAACATGATGTTTAATAAATATAGGTAACATAGAAAATGTTAAAGAAACTCCCCTTTGAGAGTAATATAAAATCTGAAAGCTTTTAGATTTTTTTAATTGAATTAATTATATCTATTTATATCAATCATTTTCTTAATTTTAAGCATTATCAATAGGATTAAGAGGAGAAATACATAAAAATTTATTCAATTCATTCTAAAATGCTTTTTGCTTCAATCGTTGTAACATTTCCCACTGAAATTACACAAAGCATTGATGAAAAAACACCCTCAATTGAAGTTTAAGAAAGAGTAAAATTAAGATATTTCTCTTCAGTAGGTGGCAGCGGCAAAATTAAAAATAGTCTCGTCTCATAAAAAGAAATTGAAATAACAAAATACGCTGCTCTGCTTCTGTACTAAAAATACGAAGAAACAAGCTATAAAGGGATTGATTATTAAATTGCAAAGCATAGTGGTAGTGGGCGACAAGCCAGATAAAAGCAAAAATGCCCTTGAACTTAAAAAAACTAACTCCAGTGTTAAAATTTCACCGCATCAAGTGTAAAATCCTCTTGAAAATTACGACAGCGGTGAGGAAAGATAACAGCAGATATGTTTCATTATTTTCGCAACTTACAAGCAAGCTTCCCTTTCTATATTTCTCCATTGTTGTTTCTAATATTTAGAGAGGTTTCAAAAGATGGCAGAAAATATATTCAATAGCAAGGATCAAAATAAAAAAATTAATTGTACAGCAAATAAGAGGATTTATTGACACATTAAAGCAGACCTTTATCAATAAAAAAATGTTTGCTGCAGCACTTTAACTATTTTTATTGAAAGTAAAAAAGAAAACTGTTACTAATTTACTTATCCACACATAACATAAACTTGATTATTCGAGTTCGATGGAATACAATTAATTTCGAATACTCTTTTTAGTCCAAAGGGGCTTTGTCCCCGAAGGACTATTATTTTTGTTTTGCGATATTGCGTTGAATCACTATAATTGTCCCTTTCACTTTTCAAACTGTTGCCACAAAATGTTAGAGTCCTGCATTATATTTGAAGAAATTAAATAATGAAAATCTACATAAATGTATGTCTATTTCTCGCATTGTGATAAAACAACGGTTCATAGAGCCATCGAGTTTTTAATGACGTAATCCTCCTACGAATATGGGCATGTGGAAGACCAAATTTGAAATTTGGAATTTGTTTTATTTTCGATTTCATATTTTGTAAAACTTAAACGAATTTTTGAGTAACAAAGTCAACGATATAAAAATAAGCAATGGCAACACTCTACCGGGGGGGGAACCTTTTTATCTCCAGCTCGTCGGACTGTGTATCGGAAATTCTAAAGATATACTCATTTTAAAATTATTTTGCGACATTGCTATTGAACTCAATTTTATGGTTTAAGTGAAAAGAAAATTTTATGGTTAAGTGATATTTAATAAATAAAGGTAACACACAAAACGTTAAAAATACGCCCCTTTGGATGCAATTTAAAATCTGAAACATTTCAGAACTTTTTTTTTTTTTTTTTTTTTTTGAATAAACTACAGTCAGGATTACCCCCCCCCCAAAAAAAAAAAAAAAAAAAGAAAAAAGAAAAAGAAAAAGAAATGCAGACGGCTCAAATTTATATATTCATTTTGAACAATATTGTTATTTTTGTACGCACATAATAAAAATTTAAAATTTATAATTTGAACATTTTATTTTTATTTAAACTACATAAAAGGAATAAGCATAGTGACATTGCTCATGGATCCCGTCGCGGAAAACATCGAAATTTACACACAACTATTAATCCCGAATCAGGAAAATATTCGTATTTGTCAAACTTCGAAATTCCTGATTCTGGGAGGGGGGAATAACCCAAAGGGGTGTTAGCCCAGAAGGGCTATTAGTCTCGAAAAGACACTTTGTGTCGAATCACTAAAAGCGTTGTGTCATTTTTCATATTAATGCCACGAAATATTTTCGTCCTGTCTTATGTTTAAAGAAATTAAAAGATGAAGAATCTGCATGAATGTATGTATGTTTCTCGCCCTGTAAAATAAAGAACGGCACCTCGAATCATAAAATTCTGAATAACGTAATCCTCCACCAAAACATGGGCACCTGAAAGCTCGAATTTGGAATTTGTTTCATTGTCTATTTCATATTTTGTAAAACTTTAACCAATTTTTGATCGACAAATTCAACGATTTCAAAGTGAGCAATGGCAACACTGTACGGAAAAAAAAATTATCTCCAACGCGCGAGACTGTCTATAAGAAATTCCAAAGATATGGCTGTTTTTAAATATTTCTAGGCCGAATGCACATTAGCCCAAATGCTTTCGAAATGTGCATGTGTGTGTGAATGGAAAAAAACGTACCCTTGGCTATAATATAAAATATGAAAACTTTCAGATTTTTTTCCGTGGTAAGGAGAATGAGAGAAAACTCATTAAACAAGCTATATGATTTTCTAAATCTGAAAGTTTTCTCCCCATGAAAACTCGGAAAATGAACGATAGCCTCTTGATATGGGAAGAATTTATTTACATAAAATGAAAAATCAAAAAAACAAAATGATTGGGAAACGAAATCTTGCATTACAACGCCCAGTGCTTTTAATGATAAAGTGATTTCATCTAGATCCTCAAATATGATGAGCAACAAACGATAAACAGTTGTGCTTTAAAACATGATTACGAGGTGCAACCCGAATGATGTCCGAGTCTTCTTTCTTTCACTGAGATAGATATGAAATATATTACAGACCTATCAAGTTCAAATTATGCGTGTTACAGTGTTTCAGCTGTTGTAATACTTTAGTATTATCAATGGTAGACTTATGGACTTATTTTGAGACACAGAATATGTTTCCTATTTTAAAAAAATAATTCAGGATTAGGCATCATGATTTCAGAATTTCTCGGAAAGCACTGTCCCTTACCATTGCGATCTGCCATGAATCCATCTCCAATGAGATTCAGCAAAATCAGTAATTTTAGAGAAATTTTCATAATAGTTTGGATGCTATTATAAATAAAAGGACAACTGTAAAATAACTCAGTATTTTTTGTTACTATTTTTGTAATCCACCTCCGCATTTTCAGAGACCCACACCTAAATACTTTTTAGGATCTTCACTTTTTCAAGAACTTCAATAATTTATTAATATCAAATTTCTAATTTAGGAATTCCCGAAATTTTAAAAAACAAATCACTAACTAGCCATCGAATTAAAAACAGACTTTATAAAACTTTTAAACAATGTCCTACAGATGAAGACAGAAAACTAAACAATGGAAACAAAAACTGTAGCCTATTTTCGATATATATCTGTAGTTCGAGCCTATTTTTAACGATAATATTTTTTAGAAACATAACAAAGTACTATAACAACTAACGAATAACCTTAACTTCTTCAATTTCAGAAATCGTCTTCTAGAATTTTGCCAAAATCAAAAATAGTTTCAATGACAAATTTCTCATTTAAATGGTAAAAATTCCGTTTTCATTTTCTTTGCTTTAACAAAACTTTAGTTACAAAATTTTAACTCACATAAGCAGACTCTGAAATATTTGAAAGTCATTTTCTGTTAATAGCGATTTTATACCTACCTTGTTTAGCATACACTAACATAGAGATAATTTGTCCGCGTTTTGAAACATATATTTACATTTCATAATCTTAATGACTTATTACTTTTCGGTGTTATTGCAATCCAGCCGAAATTTATTTCGATGGAATTTGATTCTGCTAATTTTTCGCATATATTATTAGACCAAACGATAGTCATTAAATCTAAGAATAAGCAAATTACTGTTGGACTCACCTGTTTCATCGTCGCCACCTGTCATCATCTGCAATATCCGGAAAGACCTGGATTGTCCATAGGTCTTGGGGTCCTGGCTATCGGTGGAAGACCGACGCTGGGCCTCAACGGCGGTCGCCATCCTATCGCCGCTCTGTCCCTCACCCAAGTTCAACCTACAAGAGGAAAGTAAAACATAAGCCTAGAGTGTTGCCGCACGTCACACATGGGAAAAAGGTCACGCCGAAAATACAAGAGCTCTTATCGACGCCATTTATGATCCACTACTCTTCTGGTACAAAGATACACTATATAAAATATTTGATCGCGAACGTTACAATATAAGAATACTTAGCTATCAATTAAAATAAAACAACTGATGCTATTTAAATGGGAACCTACTAGAAAGTATGAAATCAGAAAAGGTAGATTTTTAAAAAGTTCGAAAAGAGTGAGTGTAGTTTGAATTCTTAATCAAGGAAGACATTTTGCAGTATCTATCCTTACAGCAGTAACTGGCAACATTAAATAAAGGAAAATTTGTTACATTGCAGCAAATGAAAAATTACAATTCGTGACGCTCTTCTTTCTATTTGCTACCATTTTCAGTTGCTTCGCATATTCTAAAATTCTAATGAAATGTTGCTAACTTTTAGCAACGTGCATACAGCATATTCAAGATCAGAAAATAAACTTTAATCATTTAAAAATTACGCAATGATTTAACAACTGTTTTCTACATTACAATAAAATAGCAATTAGAAACAACACCTTTAATTATCATTCAAACTACAGTTTGAAAATTATTTTACCGAAGATGCATACAAACATTAAAAGCATTAAAAAGACACTAATATGGAAAGCAAAAATTTTTGAAAATCAATCAATTACTATCTTATTTATTATTATCTTTTATCTTATTTATTAACATTTATTGTTAGCCCAGAAGGGCTATTTATTTCGTTTTGGCAATTTGCGTCGAAATCTTTTAATGTCCATTTCATTTTTCAAATTTTTGCCACCAAATATTACCGCTTTGTGTTATATTTAAGGAAATTAAATAATGAAGAATCTGCATAAATGTATGTAGGTTTCTCGTATTGTGATAAAACAACGGTATTTAGAGCAATCAAATTTTTAATAACATAATCTTCCACCGAATATGGGCACCCGGAAGTCCTAATTTGGAATTTCGAATTTGTTTTGTGTATTTCATATTTCGTAAAACGTTAACGAATTTGTTATTAACAAAATCAACGATTTCAAAGTGAGCAATGACAACACTGTACGGGAAGAAACCTTTTTACATCCAGTGCGCGAAACTGTGTATCGGAAATTCTAAAGATATGCTGTTTTTAAATATTTTGTGATATTGCTGTCAAATTGAATTTTATGGTTTAAGTGATAAAAACATGATATTTAATAAAGGTAACACACAAAACGTTAAAAAAAAGGTCCCTTTTATAATGTAAAATCTGAACGCTTTCAGATTTTTTTCCTTTATCTTTTTTATTTTTATCTTTAATCATTTACTATTTTTTTTTATTTATCAATTACTATATTTTATTATTATTTATCTTTACATATTTATAGGGAAGTGGCAATTTTGCGCAGATAAAACGGAAATAATCATTTTCGGATCAACTGACTTAGTCATCCGATTTCACAACCCTCGCAAATTTTTATAAATCAGAAATTACATTTACTAATAGTGGTTATTAAATTCAAATGCGAAATTTTTAAGATTCCTGCTGTTTCTTATAATATTGTTTTTCCTGGGATGTAAAATATTCTCTAAGCGCTGTACTCAACTAAGATTATCTAGAATTTCGCACATGTAAACACTTATTTCAAAACAGATGACCAAACATGAAAGACAGTGGTAGTTTAACATATAATCGTTCGCATAAGTATTTCGTCATACGATCGCCTTCACCGAACTTTCTTTCCGATACGTTTTGCGGTACGAACACACATCCCCTTTATGGTCAAGTGCGTAAGAAAAAAAAAATAAGAAGAAGCAAATAAATAACTAAAAAGAATAAAAAGAGGAAATGAGCGGAGCGTGGCGCTGAAGAAAGTTGCGAACTCTAGACATCATCGTCTGCGAACTTTGTTTATTATTTTTGCTTATTTTTTATAGTTTACGTCAGTACCCAGAAATCAGAAAATTAATCCTCGATTTTTTTTTTTTTTTTTAACTAGCTTCTCACAAGTTTCGTTCGTGTTTGAACTAACGTTCCCAACCGTACATTGTAACTGCAACTGTATTTCTCCCAGCAATTTAAAATCCAGCATAATGCTGTTTGAATAAAAACTCCGGACATTAAGACCAATATTATCAGAACGTGCAGCTTGTCTCAAATTTACAATTTTAGACTAATCTGAGCTATTAAAATTTAAGCGAATATGAATTTGCTGCTGGTCCCTTATTTTAGTCTAAATGGGCTTTGTCCCTGAAGGACCATTGTTTGCGTTTCGCGATTTTGCGTTGGTTCACTATAAATGTTCGTTTCGCTTTTCAAACTGTTGCCACCAAATATTATTAGAGTCCTGCATTATATTTGAAGAAATTAAATAATGAAAAATCTACATAAATATATGTATATTTCTCGCATTGTGATAAAACAACGGTACATAGAAGCATAGAATTTTGAGTGACATAATCTTCCTACGAATATGGGCATGTGGAAGACCAACTTTGGAATTTGTTTTATTATCTATTTCATATTTTGTAAAACTTTTAACGAATTTTTGATTAACAAACTCAAGGATTTCAAAGAGAGCAATAGCAACGTTGTACAGGAAAAACGTTTTTATCTCCAGCACGCGAGACTCTGCATCGGAAATTCTAAAGATATGCTCAATTTTAAACTATTGTTACGTTATTTTTTCCCTTCTTTACGTTACATACGTACGGGGTTCGTGCGGATTTGGAGTGAATAACGACCACAGCACTTGATGAAGTATCGAAACACACTTTATTGGCCAGTATTATTCAAGACAGCTCCAAAGACAAGTTTACAATCGTCGAAGATCTACCATAAACACGCTGAAACTCAGCGACACAGCCTTCAGGTTATCAGGCTATAACGGTGGAGACAGCTTCACTGCAAAGCACCAGAGTACAGCTCCCGACTCTGCTCGGTCGTTCTCGGAACTCCACGTACTCTCGAGACTCTCCACGCTACAACTCGCAATGCACTCGACGATACACAAGAGTATAGCTCTCGACTCAGCACAGTCTAAGACGCAACTCGACGATGCATTAATTCACGATGTTCTAAGAGACTCTTCCGGTGCACTCGACGACCCACTCGGCACTCGTTGACCGACTGTCAACTCGATCGATTCCGCACGGACTAACTAATCGCTAGACGAGACACTAACAAATTGACTAACAGATTCTCCGCGTACCAGCATAGTTTATATAGCTTTTAGCTTGTGTTCGAGAACATTCTGGGCTAAACCGGTAAGAATTTGTTCCAGAAGGTTCTCCATCCGTCCATGGCATATCGCCAAATGGGCGATTTCTCGCCAAATGTGGTAATCCTGCCTTTCCTTGCCATTTTATGGCAACCCTAAACCTGCTTTACGGGAAAGCTACCTTACCGCGCCTGGACATTTCCTAACACTATTTTGCGATTTTGCTCTTGAAGTGAATTTTATGGTTTAAGTGCGACGAACGTGATATTTAATAAATAAAGGTAACAGACAAAATGTTAAAAAAACGTCCCTTTGGATGTAATTTAAAATCTGAAACCTTTCAGATTTTATTATTATTATTATTATTATTACTCTATCGTAAAATGCATATATGTTAAAATGTATTTAGGTTAAAATAGAAACTGGCAACGTTGCGATCGCAGAGCGACGAAGGCACTTACAGTCAGTTTTCAGCATTTGTCGCTTGTGTTTTCATGAGTTTGATTGCTTTGTTTAATATTTTGGTCCTCTGTGAGTAGGTTTGCAAATTTAAGTCAGATTGTAGATGCTGTGTATACTAAAATGTGAATTACGTGTAACGTGAAAAAATTCGGAATCGTTTTTCAAAATGCCTAACCATGTTTGAGAACTGATTAGAAAGAAAGAAAACAGACAAGGGAAAAGTGTATAAAATATAAACCGAAGGCGCATAAAAATTTAATGAAATCCAGTACCTCATTAAAAGTCATAGTCAAAATTCTCAAAAAATCTTGTCTAAGTATGATACAAAATTAATTAGATAATAGCATTAACAGATTTAATATGAAAAAAGGCCTTAAAGGTTTCAGATCCGGAAACTTTAAAAGTTTGAATCACTTTTCAAAGGTTGCCACCAAATATTATTGTTCTATATTATATTTAAACAAATTAAATAAATAAGAATCTGCATTGTAAAAAAAAAAAAAAAAAGATTCCTAGAGACTCATATTTTGAATAACGTATTCCTCCATTCGGGCACTTAGAAGCCCGAATTTTGAATTTGTTTTATTATCTTTTTCACATAACGAATTTCTGTTTAAAAATCTCAACGATTTCAAAGCGAGGACTGGCAACACCTTACGGAATAAAACATTTTTATCTCTACGCGGCAAGACTGTGTATCGGAAATTCTAAAGATAGGCTGTTTTTAAATATGTTTAGCCCAAAGGGTCGTTACCCCAAATGCTCCCGAAACGCGTATGTGTGTGTAACTGAGAAAGTCGCTCGCGTATTATAAAATCTGAAAGCTCTCAGATTTAAATAAAACATATTATTAATTTTGGCATTTCAAATTAAATATAGATTTTGGTATTCGAAAGAGGAGCAGAAGTCATACTAAATTCTTGATCAACCGTAATGTAATGGCGCTCATAAAAGATAATTGCTAGTACATGGTATATTTGTTTATTTTTCTCTATTAGCATTTACAGGAATAATGTTAGGAACGCTGTGTGATAATATACATGTAACGCAATCGGTTTCATATCCCCTTAAAATATGCACTTAACTCTACTCTCAAGCGAATTCGGATAACTAGAATCCTGACGAAATATCGCGTTGCCGTTACGAAACCGAGCATGTGCAAATTTGAACAAAATGGACTCTACAAATGAGTCAAAAAATAAATTTCAAGGTTTCATTAAGGCAAATAAATTGAGTCAATAATGTAAAAAATATAATTAAAATTGTGTAGTAAACTCACCTTTCAAATTGGTTTGGCAATTGTTGACATTGGGGGGCGGCTTCATTTGTTTTTGGTTGTAGCAAAACTTGTTGCCCCATGCAGGAAGGCGGAGGGGGTGCTTGTTGTTGATTGGCAATGATCCTCCTCTGCATCTTCGGCGATCGGATTTCTGAGAGGTCCAAGCCTCCAGGAAGGTAGGTGAAAGGCTTCTTGTCTTTCTTCATGCTGCCAGCCAGAGCAGCGGGCAATTCAGGGCCTCCTCCAGGGGTGGCAGGCGATGGAGAACTGATGCCAGCAGCCGCTTTCGCTTCTTTTGTTGCCTAAAAATAATAAGAGTTTTGTAATAAAAAATGGGTGGTAATGTATTCAATAAAGTTAGGATTATGTGGTTTTAAATAAAATGAAAAATAATCTAATTGGAAGAAAAGTACATTTACTCATATGCTGCATTATAGATAGTAGCCCAAGTTTACAATTTTGTAACGTTAGTTGTTCGTATATCAGGACTAAATATCATATTTACAGAGTGTAGCAAAATTCGAAAGACTTTCAAAAATCAATAAATTGGCGTATGAGAGTGAGGTTTGTATGTAAAGACTTACCATATGCGTGGATTTATTTTATAGGCGGTGTAAAGACTATTTTAATATTCTAACTAATTATTTTTAGTTTGTAAAACTTTCCTTTCTCTTCTGATTTGAATTTAAATTTTAATGACGTAGTATGCAAAATCTAAGTGTGTCTAGAAGCAGTATTTAAGCTGCGTTTCAAGCGTTCGTGTGGGGTAGTAGCGGAGTTAGTTCCGAGTTTATACGGCGTGTTTGAAATAGCTCTCTAGTTAGTGTTAGACATCCTTCACCTTATAGCTTATGGCTCACCTTATAGCTCTCTAGTTGGTTAGCTTCTAGACTTGGCTTTGTTGTGTGCAGTTTAGGTAACTAAGGAGCCAGTCGTTTAGCCATTCTAATTTATTGTGATTTTACATTTTTATTTTCTATTCAACTTAGTTTAGGCACAAGTGGTGGGGAATTTTGAGCACCGAGTGCGTGCATTTTGTTACGTTAGTTCTAATAAAAAGGTTATTTAAACCTTCTTCTACAGTATCTGTTCTTCAAGATAGAGCGAGAATTCGCTAGGCAGTCTATCACGTAGGATCTACCGTGAATGCTCCCAAAAAGACCAGCAAGCGGTATAAAAATAAATCTTAGCACAAATTTTTGCCAATATATAGCATAATTAGCACAGCAAGAGACAAAGTAACATTATACAGCATACATTCGTTTGCAAATTTTAAGAAAAGCAGTCTATCTTAAACTCACAGCTGCACATCACATTTTGAAGGCCTGCCTGTCAGTACAGCACGTAGTTAACGCGGTCAAAAGAAAAAGATAAAGAAACGTATCTCAGGTTCAAAAACAATGTATGTAAAATTTACTAAATAAATACATATTTTGAGCAGTTGTAAGCATACTTTCAGCAGTCATTGAATAACTGAATCATAATAAGATGGAAAAGTGGTTTTTCTTCCATAGAATGTTCATTTAAAATCTTGGAATCAATCTGTACCATCTTCGTTTCCTGTTCCACATTCATTTTTCTCACGACCACAAGAACTGACAAAAACCTGGCTCTGCACAAACATAACATCGCACACGGCCTAAAGAAACGGAAAATCACGACGAAGAGAAAGACAATTATAAGACTTTCTAATGATACCCAGAAATCAAGTAGTTCCCTGCTTTCAAATTTTACAATCTTTTAAGGATATCCAAAAGTTTCTGATTTTGTCATCCTTTTAATTATATCCAGTTTTGACAATTAAATGTCACCATTTAATTAAATTCAGCTTTGTTAACTTTTTTAATGATATCGAAAATCAACTAAGTCTTTGCTTTCGAATTTTGTCTTCAAAGTATTGTCGCAATTAAACAGTTAAATAAGATTTCCTAATTCCTCCACCTAATTTTAAGATAGATCGTTGGCTCTGAAAGGTTCTTGAATTCACACGAACATGTCCACATTTTTTAGTTGAAACTAATTTTTAAATGAGTAGATAAGCTAATAATTTTTTTTTTCAAATCTAGTTTGTATATATTTTAAAGTATTTTTCAAAAACAGTATTGTTAAGTATTTTTCCTGTCGTACCTCCAAACTCATTGAAAAGTCAGATTCTAAAACCATATGGAGTAAATATCCTTTCTATTCAAGCCCACAAATGGCGTCTTAAGGCGACATCTATCGATGGAAATCTAAACTAAACGGTGCGAAAAAATTCCATGTCTGCAATAAATCTCTTAGATTCAAAATAACTGGTGTATTAGAGACGCTAAATCCCTGACTTTATGCGACTATTTTAAAATTTGGTCAAATTTATGAGACGGCATGTATAATAACTATGAAAGTTACACAATTATTAATATTAGAAATGAAAGGAAATTGTAAAAAGTGTAAGTTTGTTTTTGTAAGTAAGATGACCAATACACAAGTAATATATTAAAAAAAAAAAAGTTTTATAAAATCAATTCCTACTTATGAGAATTTTCGCTACGTTATAGTACATTACATCATCCAACTCTATAAAACTACAATTCTTTAATTCCATACACTTTAAAAATCTCTCTTACTGTCGCCACTTATTTTTGTTAAATATTACAACCCCCATTTATCACAGTCATGTACTATTATTTATAAGTTGTTGTAAAATTAATTTTTACAGCACCTGAGAATTCCCAATAAACGGTTATTATTTGTAAGTCTTAATTTGTGAAATTTTAAATATGTGAAATTTTAAATTTTAATTATCTTTAATATGTGAAAAGACTCTTATAATATAAAGTGTCCACTGCAAGTTTAAAAAAATGCATTTGAACTTGAGTAGATGAATAAAAAGTAATTTATTAACGATTGAAAAAAACACTGACATAAAACAAACTTCCGCAAAGTAGGGAATAACCATTTTAAAACATCAAATGTAATCAGGCAAAACTCTTTCGAGAAACAAGGATACAAAAACATTTTCTTTAAAATTGCAACGCTATCCATTCTTTTAATAGTTTGGTTAAATATCTTGGGGATTAACCTTTTTTCATTTAGGTAGCTTTCAGATTCCCATCTTGGATTTTTATCTCGTATTAATAACTAGCATCATGTTCAATGAATGCGTGTCGTTACCTGTCAAATATATCACTCAAAGCAACAAATAAATGAGCACTGATTACACTTTAGTTGACCGTGCTTGCCCTTTAAAATCCATTAAACAAATATACTATGTAGGTTACATGTGCGTTAAAATCTAGGCCGCATGTTTGTAAAACGGAAGTTATTATCCAATAAAATACTTAAGAAACTATTTTAAAACGAGTAATTTGATGAATCAAAGTCTTTTCTTTTTGTATTGCAAAATTAGAAATCATACATCTTTAAATACCTGCTTTGAAAATAACTAAAAAAGCGTTCTCTATATTTTACTATCTAAAAATGAAATGCATTTAGAACTTTCTTGAGCAACCTGGTCAGGTCGAATTTTATATTTTTATGATGTATAATGTAATAATTAAAAAAAGTTTGTTATCTGACTCTGAATTCCAGTCTAACAGTTGACAGGGTTTTTGAGTACCACTTAGTTGAGGTGAAACATTTGGTGCAGTCTTTTAATAGCGTCATGTGCTTTACAGCTTAAAATATAAGAGCAAGTTTCGTGTCAGTCTTTAAATGACGAAGCGCATTATATATATATATATGTATATGTATAAACTGGGTGACCCTAAAGTCCGTTAACATTTAAAAATTCATGAATAAGTAGGTTGAGAGGTAAAAACTGACACATATGTTTGAAATGTCATGGGTTTTACTGAAAGCAAGAACAAAAGTGCTTAAAACGGCCAACAGATAGCGCTTCATATGATAAAAAAGCCATAACTAGCATAACAATTCATTTTTAGCCTATGATTTTAATAATACATTTTCAACATGTCGGTCGTCATTCATCAACAACACCTGTAGTCGAGGAACAATGTTGTGAACGGCAATGTACAGCATATCTGCAGTTATTGTGAGAAACTGTAGTCGGATGTTGTCTCTTAGCACGCGGTAGACTTGTGACTTCAGGTAATCCCACAACCAATAATCATACGAATTGAGATCTGGAGACCTGAGAGGCCAAACTTCACGGAAGTGTCGGCTCAGCACGCAATCCTCACCAAACGATATGTGCAAGAGATCTTTCACACGTGTAGCAATATGAAGTGGAACACCATCCTACCTAAACGTCATACCTTCCAACAGGTGTTTACTAGCCAGACTAGGGATGGTGCGATTCCATAACATATCAGTGTACCTCCCACCCGTAACACTGACAGTGTGAATAGCAGAACCACGCTTTTCCTCGAAGAAAAAGGGTGCGATCACGATTGATGTGATAAATCCTAATGACACCGTGACCACACCTGGAGGCGAGGATAGAAAAGTGACAAAATCATGAACGGACTGATTCCCTCTCTCACTACAGTTCATTTAACACACGATTCTCACGCAATGTCACATGTTGGCCTTTATCTGCATTTTTTTTCTTTCAATAAAACACCATGTCATTCCATGCATAAGTGTCAATTTTTACCTTTCTACCTACATTATTCCGTGAATTATTGAATTTTCAAATGTTAACGGACTTTTGGGTGACCCGGTATATATATATATATATATATATATATAGAGAGAGAGAGAGAGAGAGAGAGAGATAAATCGTTTTCGTTACAATAAGAGCTGCTCATTGAAAGCATAATATGTGTTTAGGATTTTTAGCTTAATTTCATATTTCAGAAATACAATATATTGCAATATATTACCAGTTGTTAAAAATGAAAGAAAATCAATGACAAAAAGAGAATGTTTAACAATAAGGTAATAAAACTAAAAAAAAGGCCTGAAATTAAAGTTTAGATGTAAAACGCAGATACTGCTGCTTTAAAGCCTTTATAATTCTCATAAAATATAATATCTTTAACCTTATGGTTTAGTTAAATCAGTCCAAATAGCATTTAAAAAATATAATCTTTCAGAAAATAAAATTACAGAAGACAACAAAAAAGGAGTTTCCCGCCTTTTATTCTGAATACGTAAAGTTTTAACTGTTTAGTAATGCTGTTATGAAAACTAAGTTATGAAAACTAAACTATTTTCTCAAATTCAATTTAGAGACCATATCCGTAAATGCTTGAGCATGCATTCTATGAAAATAATTAAATTTGTGTCTTAATTCGAGCTAAAAGGTATGTTTTCAAATTTTCACAGTACTAGGTTTCGATGGTTTTACCGACCATCA